ACTAACATCACAAACTCAACCTGGACAAAGCATCGGTTTGCAACTTATTAGGTAGGGTTGTTTAGTGATGTTAGAATGTGTGTTAGGAGTTTCGTTAGTGTGTTTAGTTTCACAAAACCTGTGGGTTTGTGTTTTAAGGGGGGGAGGGTTACGGCTGCTGCCTTCCTGGTCATCGGAGTGTTTTCAGCTGTGTGTGTTCTATGTAAATGAGCTGTGTGGTTGCCCTCCCGTCATTGACTGCCATCTCCTGGTCCGCCCCTGAAGATTGCAATTGGAGCACGCCGGGCCCGAAGCACTCTAATCGCAGCGCACAGCCGGCGCACACCTGCTGGGGAGGAGTACAAAGGCGGCGGGGACTGAGATCATTCGGGAGGCTCTGACATGTGGACAGACGCCTCTCGCTACTTGCTCTTAGAGAATTCTGTTAACTGTGGTTAAACTTGTGTGATTAGTAGTGTCTAGAGTAGCTTAGTTAGAGTGTAGAGTAGTTTAGTTAGTGTTTAGAGTAGCTTAGGATTTTGTGACTGTTGCCTTTTAGTTTAGCTGTGTTTTGTGTAGATTCTTTGGGTAGTTGTACCACTTTTAAAGTGAGGTTTTTGTTTCGTTCTCTATTTAGTATATTAGTATTTATTTTCCCTGTATGCCATTAGACTCCTTTTGTTAGAGTCCTCCCTTTGTTTGGTTATTTGTCAACCTGTGCTCTTTTGGCCTTTTTTGTTGTTCCAGGCTGCATGCCTGCCATTTTGTTACACCCTGGTATAATAAAGCCATTTATAATTATTACCAATCCCATTCTGGTTGTGATGCTTCCCTTTGGTTCCTCTAGCCCAGTAGGGAACGTAATATAATTATTGATGCATTAAAGAGTTATCAAAGCTGGTAAAGGTGCAGCCAACTTTAATTACTTTGTATACTGCACAGTACCTTTACTCAGTTACTTTACTCCAGGTGTTACTGAAGTCTTATTTAAGTGTTGATTATATTTCACAACATTAATCCAAGTAAAGTAACTAAAGGTACAACATTAATGTAGTGGAGTAAAAGAACACCATTTACCTCTGAATTGTAGTGGAGTAGAAGTACAAAGTAGCATAACATTGAAAGTACAAGTTCGTACTTGAGTAAATGTACTTAGTTACTTCCCACCTCTGGGCTGGTTTTGAAAACACACACAAATCAGATCAAGAACAAGCCTCAAAGTCACGGGACGATCCTGCAGAGTTTAGAGAATTGCGACAATGAACAGATCTAAAGGAGGCTGCAGAGAAAATACTGCATGAAGCGTTTTATTAGCCCAGCCTATTTAATTTCTATTTGTAGGAAGTTTGGAACAATCAGGACTCTTCCTAGTGCTGAACAAACCAGGGAGACGGGCCGCTGTAAGAGCGCTGGCCGGGATCCTAAAGGATTCTCAGACCGTGAAAAACAAGATTATCTGGTCTGATGAAACCAATATCGAACAGTTTGGCCTGAATTCTAAACGTCCCGTCTGGATGAAACAAGAGTAAAATAGTGACGCATAGTGGTGGCAACATCATGACTACATTTATATCTGTAACCTAATTGTTGCATACCCATTTTAAGCCAAACCATGATCTTTATTTCTAAACTGGAGCCTCCAGAAAGACCTTTTTACTCCCGTGTGTCTCTGAGCACATGCAGTTACATGCATGAAGGGTTTTTTTATGTCTTGAATTAACAGGCCCGCCAGGGACAAAAGAGAGAGGGAGAGAGAACATGCAGTTGGATAACAAAAAGTCTTTCTTTCCCTCCGGCTAAAGACTTCCTTGAAGTGTCAGTCACTGCGTCCAGAACAGGATTGCACTACAGCTCGACAAGAGACTTTGCTATTAGTCCCATTTCATGCAGGTGTGGACACGCACACACTTTTAGTATTCTCTATTTTTCTTTTGCACCACAAGTGAAAAACACATCCAATAATGTGAGTGTTGCTGGGATGAAGTGTGCTGTTATTGTGTTAATGGAAGAACTGTCATCATATATAGGAGTATTTCATGTTGTTTTATAATAAGAGTGTAAATGTTTATTGAGCCCTGAGGGCACGTAAGCATGTCTGACCTCATCTCCAGCAGATATTAAGAGTGTGCCGTCAGTGGGAGTTCAGATGGAAACTAACTTCAGCCGTAAATCACAGTCTGCTGCAGTCAATCGAACAGCTGTTTGGTTTCTGTGTGCAATTATAATCAGAGATCTGCATTTTCTGATACACTGCTTGACTGAAGCCATATTACCCATATGTGGAGGCAGAAAGAACGTTTTTTGTTAAAGTCAAGAAAGTTATTTGCATACTTTAATCTTGAGGATATTTTAGTAATTCCACTTGGCCTGCTCGATTTATAGTTGAAAACAAATGTTACATTCAACGGTACAAACCCTAAATATATCCCTACAATTTTTGCTTTTATGTTTTGTTTTTTAATCCTTTCTTCTTGTTTTCTTCCCTTCTGTCTTTCTTTCTTCATGTGTTGATTTCCTTCAATCCTTTTTTAGCTTTTTTTCTCAGATGTTTAACTTCCTGGCTTTCTTTTCTTATATTTTTCCTTATTTATTATCTTCTTCAATGGATCTGAAAGCCAACAAATCCTTGCAGATTCAAGGTTGTACTTTCACTTCAGGCACAATATGTTGCCACTAAGTTTGCTTTAACTTGACTCAATATTTGAGTCAAGGACTTTTCTCCTGTGGCACTGATTTGACATCTCAGCTCTTGGTTATAATACGATTTGTAAAACATATTTTCCCACCCATGAAACCACACATAACACATAAAGAGACACAACCCACAAGCTTGTTGTACCCTTAAAACAACGCCCTTACACTGGTTTTAAAAGTGCTGATAAAGTGGAAGCCCGCAGAGTGTAAACCAATAAATTATGTTTGAAACCAGAGGCTGGTGTCAACTTGTGCTTTTACAACTGATTATAAATAAATCAGGAGCTGTGAGAAAGTTTGAGAGAATAAGCGACAAAAAGGAAAACAGAGAGAGAATGAGAGGAAAGTGCAAGAATGCTGTGTGTGTGTGTGTTTGTGTGTGTGACAGAGAATGAGAGGTGATTACTTTGTGTTAATCTAGTATCAGCTTTCCACCACTTGGAGGCTTCCCAGTGTATTACTCATTATCCGAAGACAAGTCTATTAAATACAGATTAGACGGGGCGAGAGAAGGGACCAGTATTCCTGACATTTCTCACAAAACATCTATCATCAAGGGTTATCTGGGGTTCTCGCCTTGATGTCCCCACTTTTCTTTTTGTTCCTTCATGTGTGTTTTTTCCCTCACTCTTATCCAGCTGTGCTCCATATTTCAACCCGTTTTTTCCAACAGATTTTAAATTGAGCTATCCATGTAATTCATTCAAACGAAGACACTGAACAAAAAAAGCTTTTAGACTTTTATCTGTCAGGGTTTTTCTTTTTACCAGGAGTCATCATGTTGTTTTGATGGCCTTGAAGGATTGAGCTGCACATGGCCAGATATTTCTTCATATTTCTGCTTTTAAAAGAAGAATCAATAGATCCATATGAGTGTACGTATGAGTCCTGGTACAGTAAGTGCATAGTGGATGAGTGCTCCATTTAAAAAGGTAGTGCCTCAACAATCGCAAATCCAATAAGGTCTGGCTAGCGTTGCATTTCAGAAAGCTGTTAACATCAGTTCTCGATTCTGGAGAAAGGGTCTAGTATAGAGTTTGTCTCCATGCCTGTTTAAAAAACAATGAGCTATAAGGGGAGTCTTTTAAATCTTTAAACATGATGCATCCTTTTCCACATCAACATAACGACATAGAAATGAATATATAACATTAATATTGCAACATCAACAATGAATCATGACAGAAAGGGATCGCTACTGTGTTCGGGGCTACACCGAGTTTATTATTTTCATAATCGACTAATCTGCAGACTATTTTTTTCCATTCATCAATTTCATCATCTGTAAAATGTTGGAAAATACAAAAAACAGGCCATCTTGATTTACCTGAATAGTGAATACACAATTAAAATGGCTTGTTCAAATCTGATTGAAAATGTGTTTAATACTCCAGAAGCTATGAAAAATGTGGCTTCCTTGCTTTAAAAATTACAATTATTCAGTCATTGTTTCAAATAATTGCTCATTGTCCTTAATTTCCAAACGGAGATTAGTGCAACATGGAGTATGTTTTACAAACGTTCATCGCTCTCAGAATGTCTTACAGAGATAAGGCTTACTTAGTCATTACTCCGTCTGCACATTTAAAATAAATGTTTTAGACTAGAGTAAATTGCCAACTGGCTTTCAGCAAAATATATTTCTGTATTGGGTTTAAATTAAAAACAGATGTGGAGATGAATAAGAAGATGAGTTGCATTCAGCAGCCATATTTCTTAAGATATAAATAACTATTAATGAGTTTTGGTCTTGGAGTCTAAAGACAGAGCTGTCAATACATCTCCAGAATAAAGTTGAATATGCAAACTGGCAGGAGAGTAAGTGCGCTATGAGAATAATTGCACATTTTCCACAAATGCGTCTCAGGAAAAACGATGTGTTTGCCATAATAGAAAAACACAGTAGAGACTTCTATATATTGCATACATATTTGCATAACAAAACATACTCTCAGATGGAAATGTACTCCTCTAAAGTGGATAGTCAGAACCATTACAAATATTCCTTTTATGTTTTTCTTTATAGTCTTGCATTAAAGTGTTCAAAGCATATTTAATTAGATGTACCCAGGCTAACAGAGAGTGCATTTTATATATATATATATTATTAAAAAAAAGAGAGATGCATGAACTTGACAAAATGAGGTTGAGGAAAGTCAGACCTCGATGCCTTGAAGCTGCTCTTTGTGTGCAGCGCTGAATCAGTGATAACGGTTTTAAATAAAGATGTCTCCAAATATGAATATTTCAGAGATATATTAGAAATAGATGTGGAATCATGAACATAAAGCAGCAGCAGATCATGTGACAAATAAGATGAGACTCACCGCGTTGAATCCTTGGAAGAGGCTGATGGCTGCGGCCGTATCCAATGGAAACGGGAAAAACTGCTTCATGCCCAGTGAGGTCTGGATGCCAGGCAGGGTGGGACGCACCAGGGTGGGCATGAGGCCATTTTGACATGTGTTACCTGTAGGAGGCAGAGCAAAGGCAACATATTGAAATGCAGATGGCAGCAGGAAACAAAGCTGAGCCGAAATCTTCCAAGTGAACCGTCAGAGTGTTTGTTTAGTCTGTAAAACAATGTGTCTCTGCACTGTGTAACATCTTATCTGTATTACTCATACATTCAAGTATGTAACTCCTCTGCTAACAAGGCAGACAAAGTATGCATACCTTACATTAGTTACAGCGTATTGATTTGATTTATATTAATACCAGGAGTAAAAACAACTTTTCAGATGTTCTACAGTGGGTTGAACCTCAGCTGGAGGCACGGAAATCCCCCAAATCTCCAATTTGGATGGTTTTAAAGCTTCAACACTGGAAAAACCTTGAACCTCATTCCTATTTGAGGATTTCCATCATTTAAAAGACATCGTTTTATAACAAGGTTTTTATTATCCACTTCGAGCGATAGAACTATTAACAAAGCACTAATATACTAATAAAGGGCTGGCTTATCTAAAGCCAGTTGAGTAGCACTTGAAATGTTTTTGCTCTATGAAACCTGATATACTTATATGATTCTGTTTTCCTCAAGTTTGTATTTTGTTGGTCGAACGCACTTATTGTAAGCCGCTTTGGATAAAAGCGTCAGCTAAATGCAATGCAATGCAATGTAATGTAATGTAATTATACATCACAAACTCCCAATACCTTCATTTTCTTTCCCTCATTTTTGGGTATATCTAGGCTTTTTCATGTCATTTATAATTTCTTTTAACATAATAATATCAACTGAAGGTCTATGTTTTCTGAGCTTTCCAAGGCTTTAAATAGCAGAGTTGCAAGCTCCAGAATAACTTGTCAGACCTGGGGTTGAGACTATACAAGGTCAAGAGTGAATTTCCATGCTCAAATAAATAAATAGAGATTTTGCACCTTTTTTCAGCATTTCTGTATGGTTTTATTTCAAAATATCAGTATATGACTACATAAATGTCTTTCTTTTCTTTACAAACTCTGAGAACTTAATTATTCATAGTTTATAGTTTTCATGCTTTGACGCTGAATGCCTGATGTTTGGACAAAATTAAAAAGGTCAATCTTTTCATCTCAGCTATTATTGAAGTATGTGTACATTCTAAAGTTTGTCAACCCGTTAACACCACGATTAGGAGAATGTTTCCATTGGCTCAAAGATTGTGTCTGTGATAAATTGACTTAAGACTCAAGAATTATGGATTTAGTTTCTTAAATCACAGTCAGACCCACATAATGCACTGGGAATAAATTGTAGATGCAGATGATAACTATGTGATACAGTGATGATGTTAATCTCTCCAAAACAGATGTTCTCATTCTGACTTGTCCCCACAAAGAGCTGATGTGGAATGACTGCAACGGGCAGTTTGTCTTCTGAGATGAGTTAATGGCAAAGCAGGCCAGGCCTTCACATCTCTAGGAAAAACAAAGTAAATACTTTTATTGTCATGTGAGTGCACCATGCCAGCAGAGCGCTTTAAAACCCACAATTGGAAACAGCACACGGCTGATTTCAACACTACAGGATGAAAAAAAGGCAAAGAAAACCGTCAGAGCCCTCCAAAACATTAGGAATTAAAGAAGCCATTTCACGAAGCTGTAATGAGAACCAGAGGGATGATTTTTTTATTGCTGCACATTTAACAACAGTGGAACTCTGGGCCAGCATGGCTCTAAAGCGCTGGCAGATACTGTATCAAACCGCCGTCTTGAGACAAATAAAAACACGGTTTGCCACGTTTTGGACCCCAGGCTACGGTAAGGGGTAAATAAAAGTCATAAACACAAGAGGAGAAAAGGGAGAAACCACAGACTGTCTCCCCTTCTCCCACTCTGTCTTCGCCTTCCAGTCGCGGAGCGCTGCCATCTGTTGGAAAAAGAACACATGCCGTCTCTGATGTGGAGGCACGTCTTGTCATTCTGTAGGGATCATCCAACCATGCCATCTCTCGACATGCCGGCCTGACGTCAACCCACAAGCACGCCTTACCACGCGCCGGCCAAATCCAGCACTCACGGCCCGACAGTCAAAACAGGCCGTTCAAACACACCAGGGCTGATGTGCGGGATTAGTCTGCAGCGAGATGAAGACTGACAAACTGAAATGTGAATTTTTACGATAGGGTCATGTTTGGTTTGCTGAGTGATAGGGGATGAAATATGATGTGTCATAACGACTGGAGTCCTTTATGAAAAAACATCACACAGAGATGATTAGTTTCACATTACAGTCTTAAGTGTTTTGTATTGACACTGTAGCCGCTTGAAGAAGTATCCTATTCAGACCCTAAGAATAAGCTTAAAACACTCCATATGAGTAGGCCTACTCATCTTGCACTTAAAATGTCCCTTCTGTAAAAGGAACATGGTTAGAAGTACATTGGGCCTTCTGTACCTTTTAAATAATAGTAACGTGATACTTTTTCTTTTTAATGTTGTACCTGGGCAAAGAAGAACTATTTAAACTACTTTCTTTTATCGTGTGTAGTTAGATTTTTAACAAAACATCACATTTTAAATGTTGATCATATGTTCTGAATAAAAAATATTCTACAACCGTGCTGGGAACAGATGTGTTTCTTGCACAATCCAGCATATATAATCCTGCCTATATTTCCCGCAAACTATACACACTTCATCCATTTCATGTGCAACTACAGTGACTCCATGTTTGGTTCTGAGAGCTGCTAAAATGAGGGTAACCCACATTCAAAACGGTGCCTGAACGCACCATGTGTAGACACAAGAGCACACATGGGCAATGAATATGCTATTCAGCACTGAATTAGTTTAGCAGGGATTGGAAGTAAACCACATTTGAGGACAAATTACAATTTTGATATAAAAGGCATCGTAGTTTTTCCCAAATGTTGTCACAATCTATTCAATACGTGTTGAGATATTTCCATCTGGACAAAAGAAGTGAACCCACTGAACCACAGGATCCAAAAAAGGCTGATAAAAAACTAACTGACTAAGAATAACTTTTATGAACTTTCTATCACAAGTCCTCACTTGCAGACGAAGAAAAGAAGAAATTGATCATTGCCATTCTTCGAGACACGATGCTGCATGGCTAAACAGCAACATTTGTAAAGCAAGTAGTTACTATAGTTGCCAAATAATATTGCGGTTTAAAGTATTGAAGGTTGGTGAAGGAGAAGTATACTATAGTTGTAAAATAGTGTTTGAGTAATACTTATACTTCCTCAATTTAATTGTCACTGGATTTAACCTCGTTCACCTCATATACCTTCCACCCCCCGTTCGAGGTAAAATAAGGCACACATATTTTTATTTTGTCTACCTTTGTAAAAGATAACACGCAACAATCGCAATCCAGAAAAACATGCCTGAACAAAAAGTCACATTCCAGCCTGCAGCAACAGTTTCAACGCTTTCAGCCTGATCATCTGTCATCACCAGCAAATCTGTGAAAAATAATATTAGGCAGAGCAGAGAAATTAGCCCTGGCTGCTATTCTGATCTTGGTCTCCACACGGACTTCAAGATGCTTCAACACTAATGCAGAAAAATCCTGTTACAGCAGGCTCTGGCACAGAAGCACAGATGGCAACCGTAATTATCACTTTGTTAGAGATTTCAATATTTGACTTGAGTTTGGCTTAAACATTTTAATATTTGAGTTCTGTGGCCTGCTTCTAAATGTTGACTCCGTCGACAGGATGCAGGGCCCCGTGTGGCCTGAGTCTCGACGGCATGCGCTGTCATCTACTTTGCATAGAGAGTGGCTCGGGAGAGTGAAAGGTCAGCAGGCGACAATCATTCAAATAACTGAAAAGAGACTGTCTGAGCAGCCTGGGAGTTAAGTGTGGAAATGTGGGAAAAAAGACAGTTTTGCCATTAGCCTAGTCTTATATTCAGTTTTTTAGTCAGGAACATTCATTTATCAAATCAAAGTAATCAAAACAAGTTCAAGCCAAACAAATAGAAATCATAAATTCAAATGACAGCCTGGTTATATGTCATTGCCCCATCTGTACCATGTCCCCCTGCACTCATTTCTTTACAGGCTCGTATCTGAGGGACAATTTCTCACTATGAGCTTCTCATGCAGCGACCGAGAGGAGGTATGTGGTGGTTAAAAGTGAAATGTGAGGTTGTGAAATGTTTGCCTATGTAAATTGTAGCCACAGATTTATTTAAAGCCACACAGAAAGCTCCAAAGAGTGCTTAAAACCAACAAACACCAGGAATTCCAATAGAAAATGTATCATAAAAATGTGATTTAACTGAAAGTGTGCTTCAGAAAGAATCAGCTGATTGCCTATTAAACACACAACCCCTCCTCTCTGTGTACTGCATGCATTGCTGGAATACTACTTTTTCTGCATTATCATTTAATTGCACGTGAATTAATTTCTAAATATGCACTATATAAGCATATTATTAAAATATTAAAAAACGGTTTTGTTCAATCCGATCTTGTCTGCATCAATTCCAGATACCACAGGCAGCTGTTTTTAGCAAAAAAGCCCGAAAACTACTCTATGCCCAGCACCACTTGTGAAAGTCAGGGACTAGCCTGTAAACATGTTGGCAGCTAAAGAGACAAAACAGAGCTGGAAGGAAAGTAAATTGCACTTACGGTCTTCACATCACCAGAGACATGTCTCTAAATGAATGTTAATGTTCCTCGATGTTTGCTGGATGTGTAAACAGTTTGCTAACACATTACCCATAACAAATTTATAAGGCATTAATATATTAAACGTATGTTTTCCAGCTTCTCTCAGAGTTGCCAAACGAAACAAAGTAACGCAGCTTTAAAAGCTCTTATCATGTCAGATGATATAATGCTTTAGGGGTGTATATTCTAAAACACAATTTTAATTAAATTACCACAAACCAGTTGACACAAACTGAACCTAGGGCTTTTTAAGATTGCTTTTCTGCCTGCTTTGCCCAGAAGTGTAACGATGCAAAAAAAAGATGAAATCTGACATCCAGAAACATTTGAAACAGATCAAAATTGATGAAAGTTTTTTACCCAGTGGCATTTGTTTATCCATTCTCTTTGAGGCTGTGTTTAATGATGCAGTTTATACAGTGTAAGACAATACGAGCAGTTCATTGGACAGGATGTGTGTACTGTACATCGGGGTGTGTTTCAGACTCGGCTGTCCTCTGCATTGCCCTTCCTGAAAGATTCCCTTATCGGGGCTGAAGCGCTTTTTACTCCTGCGGCATCATGTCGAGAGAGGGGGAGAGTTAAAATGATGTCTGGAGGACGCCGTCTGGCATTAATAATTAATCATCTTGCTCCGCTCTGCTCCACCGTCCGCCTCCTTTTAGTGTCCTGAACCTGGCTGCTCCCCCGATAAGATCTGCCCAGAGAGACTGAGAGTCCACACTGCCGGAGAGCCTCCAAATAAAAAGCTTGCTCTGGCACATAATTCCTTTTCCCTCAGCAAACATAAATCCAATTATTAGATAAATCTGAATTTCTCTGAAAGTAATTTGTATGCTGATGGCGCTTCAGATGTGATTAACACCTTTGTGTTTTCCTGGAGTGTGCTGATTGTATTCTGCGGCCCTTAGCATGCTCTGAGATCAGTACCACGCTTCCAGTGAGGAGGATAAGATCATTTCACCCCTATTAAATCGAACAAAGTGAGCAAAAATGACAGATTTAAAGCATTTTTTTTTGCTTTTAAGCTAAACTTTCACTGATTTTCCAATTAACCTTTACAGGATAAACTCTGTGTTCGTAAGAAATCCCATAAATCTCACAAGCGTGTGGCATACAGCATGCACTTTGCTCCGAGGTGCATAACTCCTCTCCAGATTAGCATACTGTAGCTTTTGCTGCTGTCATGACTGAGGCTCGCTAATAAACACAGCTGTCTCTGAACCAGACCCAAAAATCACTTCCTATGTACTCTGTAATCTGAGGTTAACCAAAAATATGTTTACGTGCCATTTAACGCCGACCACAAAGCCAGACACACCGGATCGTTTTCCTCCGGGCCCTCGACGAAACAACACTAATAGCTTGTATGATTGCAGCACCAACTAAAGACCTATTAGCCTGCTGGGTTACGGCTCTTTTTACGGCCTTCTTTTGATGTTTGCAAGAGGAGCATTTTCTTTTGATCTGTTTATATTCTTGTCCATTTTGGCATCGAGGTCAAGAGTCTCATGATATATCACCGGATAATAATTACTTTAACAAAAAACGTGTTCCAATTAGGTAGCAGCAATGCAGAGTTGCTGAACAAGCAGTGTTATTAATCTTTTAACAGATACCATCTATTTTCTCTCTGGAGTGCAGTGCGGTTGTGCACTAAGGATTCATAAATGTTAGAGCAATGCAGCTCCTGTACACAAACACAGTGACCTTTACTCCTCTTGTTGTTTGCTTCACATTGAGCCCTGGTGATAAGTTGGTTCTTTGTCAGACAAAAGAACGTATGAAAAGAAACATCACCAACTCTTCGTTTGATTTCAGGTTAAAAATGGGACAATGTCCAAACCCATCCATTCGTTGCTTTCCAGAAGCTGCGCACCTGACTGACGTCGGCGGTCGATTCTCAAAGGGCTGAAGCTGTCTCTGCACCTGACAGCTTATTCATTTATAAGCCACCAGCACCCCCCCCCCAACCCCCTCCTTCTCTGTGTATGGCATAACAAGAGAAAATCCTTCTCGCACTACAAGCCACAGTCTGTAACTTCAGATCACTTTAATCCCCGGGATGAAAAAGAAAAAAATTGTTTTTCATTTAACAAATCACCCCCTCAGAGCTCCGGATCCCTGTGTAATTATTCCTCCAATGTGACTGTAAACCAGCCGTGAGAAGAGCACTTGACGAGGAGCCACTCGCGCATTAAGTCTTCCTAAGCCTTCTCCAGTCTCCTCCATAAAAAACGAATGGAAGGGGCCTTTCCTTCGATTTCTGTAAATATACTATACAGATGAGAATATCAAGTGGCTCCCAGTGCTGCCATCTCTGATCTGACTTGAATTCCTACGAACAGTCAGCTGGTCACAATGAAATCCGAAGCTTGTATTCTCAGCAGCAACACCACCTGGGATTCAGTCCAATAAACCAGAACATGAGCAACACAAAGGGGGTTACCTGAGGAGCAGGTTCATTCAACAGTTTTGGGATTCCTCAGTGTGCAACTTCCCTGTAACATCACCCGGCTCCCCCATCCATCTTTTTTAGTTTCAAGAACAAGATACAGGCGGGCTGGAACCCCTTTACATCTAGGAGAGGGGGGAGTGTGCACTTATACTGTGCATTTGACTGTGATAAGCCGGTGTGTCCTTGGGCAAGACACTTCACCTGAACTTGCTCCTGTGGGTATTGTCCACAGTATCTGACCATTGCATGTATCATATATGTGTAATGTGTGTATCTGTAAAACGCTTTGAGTCATTGATAAAGCGCTATAATAAATGTAAGGAATTATTATTATTATTATAAAACCCATGCAGTGAACACATACACAAAATAACAGAATCTCCCTAGTGGGTAACTTCACACTGTTTTGCCTTTAATATAAACCAGCGCTTTTCCTGTTCATGCTCTCAGTAACCAGAACAAGTCAAAACAAACACTCTTAGATGGAGGAATCTGCGGACACACACGAGGATGAAATTATGCGTGTGAACACATATAAATAAAAACTCACCAAAAAACATGCTGCTCTCCATGACTCCTCAGGCTCTGGGATGTGCTGTATTTCCTCTCTGGTGCCTTGCCAGTGTGTGTGTGTCCATGGAAAGCAGCCTGGGCATGTCTCATACACTCCTCAGGGGTGTGTGTGTCTGTGCATGTGTGTTCAATCCAACTGCAGCGTCAATGGCCAGTCTGCGCTCTGCACGCCGCTGTCTGTGGACCTCCGTATCTGCCTCTCTCTCTCTCTCTCTCCTCGCTCTGGTCCTCCCTTGCTTGTCTCGTCCCCTCCTCTTTAGCTCCCCCTCCTCCTCCTCCTCCTCTGTCTTCCCCCTCTTCTGTCTTCCTCCTCCTCTCTGGCCCCTCCACACACTGGATCCCGTCGCTTCTTTCTTCCCTCCCTCCGAGGTGTCTATCTACACTTTCCAGCAACAGCCTCTTCTCCACAGTCGCCTATCTCTCCCTCTCTCTCTAGGTGTCTCATCATTGTTTTATGTGTCAACCAAGCCTCTCTCTCTTACTCTCACTTTCCCCCCGCTGCCTCTCGTTTATTTGATCTTATTCCCCTCTCCCTGCTTCCATCTCCGGCGCGCTCCTTTTTTCTTTATTCTGACTGTTCCCTTGCTTTCCCATGAATCTCTCTCTTCCTTATCTCGCCCTCTGTGTTTCAAACTCTGTAAATATCTTGCTGCCTTTCCTCACTTGCTCTTTTTGTCTCTTGTCATTTTTCTCTCTTTCATTCAGCACATTTAGAAAAAGTAGAAGGTAGCTGGAAGAAATGAGGTTATGTTGGAAATGTAAAGGGGATTATCACCACACTGCAGTTCCACTCAGTTCTACAAGTGTTTAGTATCTCTTTCAGCTGTTTTGGTTTAACAGCCCACAACTTTTGGATCACTCTCGCTGCTTTCGTCACCCTCATTTTCAGCCACAACACACTCCAAGACCCTACCTACTCTGTATTACACTGCAGGCAGACATAGTAAGCAACTCGCTGGTGAACATAGTGGAGAATTAAGCAACTAAAGAGTCCAATATTTTTCCCAGGAGTCGGTGGAGACCAAAAACAGAGCTAAAGGAAGAGTGAATATTGCACTTGCTTTCAACTTATAACCAACTGATTTCTAGAAGGAATTTCTCTCGTTTTTAACAACTCTCAAAGAATGATAAGTCAACTCGATTCACAAGCAGGATGATTACACAAAATCCTGCACATAGCCAAGTTAACTTACGAGAGGCACTGCCCGTGACTCTTGTTTAGCACGACTGTCGTTAATCGCACTCCACATACGCCATTGAGATGTTGAAAGCACCTGCTCTCTGAACCAAAAATAAATGACAGTCGTTTATGAGCCTTTTTTCTAGTGTAAGCCACTGGTGGCCAAAATGTTTTAATCACTAGGTGTAAAAGCTCTTCTCAAGCCTAAAAATGTCTGTTTCTAGTCCAGTTAGAAATTGCGAAACATCTCTGGCGTCTTTAATTTGACCTGAGTTGTTTTGACATTAACGGAAAAATATGTATTTTCTTCTTCACTGTTACTGTTTTTATTTTTTTGGCAGTTTGTATTCTCTCCTTATCTCAACCTTATTTTGGAACCATGGTTAATTTATTTGTAATAGTTTACACGCTGTGGAGAGGACTTTTTCTTAAACAGTGAATTTTAGAGATATCTGTCAAACCTGATGTATACTTATGCAGGCTGCCGTGTATTAGTGTTTAGGTAGAACTATACTACCTTATTTTCAAACTTAGATGCATAACTGCTGTGCTGTCACTGATATTGTCCTTCCCTGAAGTAATTTCTGGAGAAATATAGACAAACAAGTTTCTCAATTTCCCCTTATCCCAATTATGGAAACCAGGTTTCTTGTTTACTTGACATCAAAGAAATCAGATTACTGCACAAAGCTGACAGTAACACAGTTACTTAAGTGTGTGTAAGTGCACTGATTGATTTTCTTCGTTTGTGTTTCCCTCCCCCCTCTTTTACAGCTCCCTTTCACCCTTTGTGAAAGGGAGCTGTTTTATTTTCTCTCTGAAGCTCACACACTCGTGCCGAAACTCTTTCTGTTGCATTTGACTCCCTTCAGTCTTGTCTCGCTCTCTCCTTCTCTTTCTTTTCATGAGTAGTTTTTTGCCCCTCTCTAGCTGGTTGTAATCAGACTCAACAGGAGCTGATATCAGGCTGCTGCTGCTCTGCTTCTGCAGCCATGACTCTCCTGCTGCTCCTCTCTAACTCTCTCACACACACACACACACACACACACTTTTTAAAAGACACAAAGCATGATAAAACTATGCATCTATCTACTACCCACACTTACGAATACAGATAAGAAGTAAAGCTCAACAAGATATATATGTAGGCTAGAGGCAGCAACAACAATAAAACACGCACGCACACACACACACACACAGTGAAAAACAGATAAACAACCACACTTTTGAAATGAAATACACACTGAACATACCTTTGAAAGACGCACCCAACTCCTGACATTTGCAGACTCACATGGACCCAAACAAAGGCAATATGAAAACAGACTCATTTATCCACAAAGAAAAGTCCAGTGAACCTGCACACCCGCTTAAAGGCCATTGCACAGCGGGGTCATGACGAATAAGCTTAACAAAAACAAAAACAATACATACCGGTATCGACTAAAATTCAGTAGGGCCTGGCTCATTTCGTGGCATCTGCAGGCAGTGGCAAGTCCTTCCGGCATATGCCACAGAGGCCACTACTCTGTGGTAGCTGTGGCAAGTACTTCCGGCATATGCCACAGAGGCCGCTACTCTGTGGTAGCTGTGGCAAGTACTTCCGGCATATGCCACAGATGCCACAACTTGCCGAGGCATCTGCCGCTGCTCAACGGGAGTTGCCACAAGATGCCAGAGTAAGATAACGTTTACGGTAGCTGCCACTCGCCTTCCGTGGCAAATGCTGCTATTTAAACCCATATTTATCGTGTAAAATGTCGCTGTTTTGGCATGACTTTATCGAACTGATCTGTACACAGGACTGATGATCTGTGCACAGGGTTGGGTTGTAACTGAATACATGTAACGGCGTTACGTAATCAGAATACAAAAACCAAGTAGCCTAACTGTATTCAGCTCGGGTTACATTTGAAAAACAACTAATCCGAATACAGTTACTTTCGTAAACCTGAAGTGAATACATTTTGGAATACTTATTGGAATTATTGGTGGAAAAGTTTCCTCACAAAATGTATCCTAATATTCATTACCGGCAGAACTGTGTGCACAGCGCAGCAGCATGTCTGTGAGGCCCCGCCCCCGCACGCAGATGAGAGAGAGATCTCTTTTTAAATATATTGAAAGTTAGAAACGGAGATGGTTCGATAAAACGTGCAAGATAACGTTTATGTAGCATTTCTTTATTGTCGAAATGATGACATTTCATAACTGGATCAAATCAAAGTGAATGGCCTGCTGCTGCTGAAGGCATGGAGCAAATATAAGTCCTTTGCCTAATTTATAAAGTAAACCTTAGCATCTCACTAGCAGTGGCAACTGCAATCAGTTACAGCTGCCCTAAGTCTGTAGCCAAGTCTAATAACACCAGTGTACACGTTGCTGTGTCAATACAGATATTTATTTGTTAATTATGTGTCTTATACTAGTCATACACCTGGTTTATCGTAGCAAGCAGTGGAAACTTCCCTCAAGAAGCGAAAATTGCCAAGGGCGTTGCAACCCTCACTCGCCAATATTTCATCATAAATATAGCACGTTTGTTTATTTTAACAAACCATGCTCCAAGTAAAATTGAATAGAAATTATAATGTTTAAAAAAATAGAGATCGGACCATCAGTCCTGTGTACAGATCATCAGTCCTGTGTACAGATCAGTTCGATAAAGTCATGCCAAAACAGCGATATTTTACACGATAAATACGGGTTTAAATAGCAGCATTTGCCACGGAAGGCGAGTGGCAGCTACCGTAAACCTTCTCTTACTCTGGCATCTTGTGGCAACTCCCGTTGAGCAGCGGCAGATGCCTCGGCGAGTTGTGGCATCTGTGGCATATGCCGGAAGGACCTGTCACAGCTACCACAGAGTAGCGGCCTCTGTGGCATATGCCGGAAGAACTTGCCACAGCTACCACAGAGTAGCGGCCTCTGTGGCATATGCCGGAAGGACTTGCCACTGCCTGCAGATGCCACGAAATGCGCTTGCAGTCTCTCCTAAAATTCGCAGTAGTTGCAACACAGACCTGAATTATTTGCGGAGTCAGAGGACGGAACTTGGATCGTATTGAGAGTAGCGTCAGGTAGTCTGCAAGAGGTGAGTTATTGTTGAGTCTAAGCTAATGTGGTTAGCAGTGATGTACCTGAACGCGTTCAATGAACATGAACGATCGTTCATGAACGCGTTCATATTTTGGGCGAACGTGAACTGAACGTACTGTATTTCCGCTAGATGAACGTCATTGAGAACGCGTTCATTCTCAGCGCTGTATAACGGCGTTCAAAAGTGCGTTCATTCTCAGCACTGTATTATAACGGCGTTCAAAAGGGTGCCAGATTTCATATGCCTTTCAGCCGAAAACCCAGTTAAAACACACCGTAAACAGGCTTCAAAATAATGCGGAAAACCACCCAATCTGGCAACAGCAAGCTGCCTGTGACGCATGAGCGCCTGTCACCCCTGGCTGTCGCACTAAAATATACGTCATCAGACTCCTCACAACAAACAATGTGGAACCGCTGAACCGGCGAGCATTGAATGAATGAATTAGTATGGACGAAGCCGAGAGCAGCTGCAGCAGCACTCGCTCAGAGTCAGACTCTACGGCGTCGGCGTATGAGCATTTAAAAGAGTTTTACGTTAAAGTCAGTACTGACTCAGACGGAAAAAATCTAACGTTTGCCTGTAACCTTAGTTTCATACCTCAGCCTGGTTCCTACCTGGTGTTGTGTTAGTACAGAGTTACGTCGGCACATGTTTATATGTTATATGTTTGCACAATGACTACTTTCACTTTTGGTACTTTAAGTATATTTAGATTCTTATACTTAATAAAGACCATTCAAGCAGCACGTTTTTCCTCATGTTTTTGAAAATATACTGTAGAGATGAAAGCTGCAGCTGCTACTAGTGTGGACTGAATGGGCGGCAGCAAAGCGTTATGGAAATGCCAGTATTCTGATTGCTGTCTGTGGTTCTATATGGGTTGTGGCAATCATTTTGACAAATAATAGCTCGCAGCAACGTATTGAAAAAAATAACTATAAAC